TCTCAGCCCATTACACAAGGCTAATGTTTGACACTCCTTATAAACGCTCAATCAAAGCTGAATCAGGCAGCCAATGATCCAGTCAATACAAGCTCAAATCATTTCTTGAAATGCTCATCATCAGTAAATACAGTAACTGAACACTAAAAACTAATATGCATGGAAAAATCAACTCTGCAATATTTTGCCTTTCTATATCCATCAACATACCCTCGTTCACCCTCTCTCCTATTCCTATCCATTCATCCCTGCACGGGTCTATCAGATTGCAAAGGAGTCGGTCACATTTTAATTTAAAATAGAAGGGTCCTATGTAATCCCTCCCTGGTTAAGAAGCTTGAAGCACGAGTACAAAGGACTCAAACATAAATCGTTGCTTTATTCTGTCCTAAGGCTGTAATCAAATCCATCCTGTGAATGAACTTGTCAAGCAGGCTCATGCTCTTCAAACAAATCTCAGACTTCATCCAAACACTGTTTTCACTAAACACACATTTACGCAACATGCCAACCCCAGACCATGGAGGTTATGTTTATTCATAAGAATAATGTTTGTTGATGAGTATAAAGTTGGTCCTACTGTCATGACAACCTGTTGCCATGCACCAGTGGTCTTTGTTTTAATGAGAGATGACAAAAAAACGTGTTCCTGCAGAGTATAATTGTGCTGCTTAATATAAAATGCACATGCATTTGTATATGCACTCCAATCACTGACACAAGAATATGTATTTTTTAGAGATGCACCGATTGCAATTTTCTTGGTCGATTTCGGATTTTTTGTTAGTGTGATCTGCCTATACCGATTTTTGCCCCTTCCGATTTTCTTTCTAAGAACTATAATTGACAGCATATACAAACAAAAATCTACTTTTCTTCAATGCAAAGTTTTATTTTCATAAAAAAAGTAAAAAGTCAGTAATAAAATAAGAACAAATAAAATAATGGCAAACAACAGCACAAATAAATGCACGGGCATTTTGACATAATTTTGTATGTATTTCAACGTTTTAGCGCAGTTAGCCACTCATTTTGATATTTGTGGCTCACAAGCTGTTTGAGACTGAGCGCAGATTGTGCGCTCCACTAATATAACTTAGATCAGTGGTGGTGCGCGCTTTTGGTGTAAGTGCGAAACCTGCGGGAATGACTAAAATAATGCACAATACAAGCATTATTTAACCGGAGCGAATGAGACGTGTGAGAGAGAAGGAGTCGTCGGAGAGAAGAGAGCGAGAATACGCAGCTGACGTTAATACCTGTGCCGCTGGTAACAAACCGGATCGGCTCAGAATCGGAAAGAAGTGAGAGGTAAAATTCCGGCAACCACAGCTGCCATTTTTTTACCATACATTTTACGGAATTTTTTTTACAGTGTATAAAAACAGCCCATTTTTCAACACCTACTGAATCAGCCTCATAGAACATAAAGGGCTTATTGTCTGTGATTGATAGTGGGTTTCAGAGACGTCTTTAATGAGCAGTAAGACTCTGGCTGATGAGTCATCACAGCAGATGACTGCTTTTGAGCAAGCAGATGGCCTGCTACATGTGGTCAATTGATCCACAGATCTCAATTATATCAGACGGCCACATACCTTCATCCTCTCAAAGGTACTGTATATAAATGTTAGGTACATTACATAATCTGGCCCTGCTTAAAGAGACAGCATGAAAAGTGGGTGTTTGGTATATACAGTGGTATTTAAATAGATATTTTGGTTGAATTGATCAAGCAGATGTCTGCACATGAGCTCAGGCACAGTATATAACTATATTGAGTATAATTGTTGATATTAACGGCCACCGGTTAATTGGATTCAGAAACCTGTCGTACAGAGAGAGTTTATTGCACATCAGCTACTGATAATTAAGATCTCTTATGATCAGGGGATTGAGGGTCTCAGTAATTAACATGCTGTACATTCCTCTGAGATTTCAGGCAAAACGTTTAAAAAACAAAGCTATACAACTTAGAACATATGATATAGCCTGTATAATCTGCTTTAAAGTTGTTTGGTGTTATACAGTGTGACAACTAAATACTGTATACAAACATAACATATTCACTGTTTTCAAAGAGTAGGATGTAAAACAGTTGAGAATATTCTATTTATATTTAAGACAAAAGCTTTTTCTCAGTGCCCATCAGTGTCACACATCTATGGCAATCCATTTTTATAATTTATTGCTTTACTATTATCTTTATGTTACTACTAGTGATCAGTAGTAACAAAGAAAATTCAACAGTGACTAGTATTTTTTTTTATTTAACTGGCAGCTATTTATTAGAAACCTGTACTTATTTCAGTAGTAACTAATACCTATTAAATTAGTCACTAGTCCTTACTGCTTTGCTTTTCCAATAGTGACAAGTGACTATTCTTTTGCAATCAGTGGTTCAGACTAGGGCTGGGCAAAATAAATCGATTTTTCGATTAATCGTTTTTTTAAATGACGTCGATTCGTTATCGATTCTCAAAAGCTATCGATCTTTTCCAGTGTTTATTTCAGCACACATTTAAAACAAGATCTGATTAGCGTGAATCTTATCATTAGTCTTCTCCACTAGATGTCACCCTTATTTACCTTGCACGATGTTACAACAGAAAGCCTGTCATTCATTCAGCGCTTATCATGGATTCGCAAAGCTCAGGTGAAATGCTATAGTAATACTATAAATCTGCGGAAGCATTTGATATCACGCATAAGGCGCCATGATTTCCGCAATGAATGAATGGCGGATGGCGCGGCGCACTGTTTTGTTTACTACACACATACTAAAGCGTGGATGATGCTCGCTGTGTTTTCAGCTTCTGCCATCTCACTATATGACGATATGAACACGAATGTCATCATGTTTACTGTTCATTTTTTTTTTAGAAATATCAATAGCATTTGTATTAAAACTATATTCACTGAATGTAATCAAAAAATCGAGAATCGAATCGAATCGAGAGCTTGCGAATCGAAATCGAATTGGGACATCTGAATCGATACACAGCCTTAGTTCAGACACCAATTATTCACTTTCAAATATTTGTTTGTAGTGTTTACTGGTATAGTTTTGCTAATAAGTATCCATTAGGTACAAGTCTTTTTAGTTGCACCTATTCAGATAGTTACTAGTATATATTTCAGTTGTTCTAGAAGTAATTTAATAGGCATTAGTACATATTTACTACTGTGTCTTTCTATTGTTACAAATAATATTTTTTAATCTAATATATGTCAAGTACAGAAACAGGGTATCTGCAGGATTTTTTAAATCAAATGTAAGACTTTTTAAGAACTTTTTAAGACTTGCACAAATAAAATTACTACCATACAAGCAGGGTAGAGCAATATCTATGGTAACATATTAAACTGTAAAAGGAAAAAATGCATGATTTACAATTCAGATACAGGTTTTCACAAAAGATTTACAAAATAATAAACTTTACATTTCAGTCTTTAAATTTTAAGAAAAGGGACAAATCAAAAATATTAATTACATTGATTTAAACAATTATTATATTAATGTAATAACTTAAATATATATCTTAGTGCCTTAAATGTTTAGATTTTTTATAGTACATTAGCTTGAAATATAAAAATATTAGTCAATATTTGCATTGGTCCGAACAAAAAAAGCAAATTAAAAAATAAATGCAGTTTCCCGGTAACGACAGTACACAAAGCAGCGCAACAACTGACGTTGATATGTGCAGCGCTCATGTTTATTCAATGATATCACAGCCTTTTGAAGTTTAATCGTCACATCAATTAAGAAACCGGTATAATTTTGAAAAATACCATGATATAAATTTTTGGTCATACCGCCCAGCACTAACATCAATCTATATCGCAATTCTGGTCTTTCCGTCCTCAAATTTAAGACCTCTTGACATCATAATTAAGACTTTATTGCACCATAAAGACTTTTTATGGCCTTAAATTTGATACAACTAAATTTAAGACTTTTTAAGGATCCACGGAAACCCTGAGAAAGCAGTTGTAACTAATGAGAAATAAACTAGTAAGTAGTAATTATATAAATTAGTAGTTACTAGTAATATTTGGCATAGATACTTCTGTCTCATAAGCTGCGTTTACACTGGCACAAAAAAAATCTATTTTTTTACTCATGTGACACAGATCAAATATTGTTACACATATGTAAACATAAAAATCTGCACAAGATTGATTTTTTGCATCCTTCTGAGCCACTTCCCTATGTGGTTTTAAATCAGATACATATTCAATATCTGGACATCTGACCTATATACATCTAAATCCCATTGCAATTCCAAGCCATCACAAGGCCAGGGAGACTAGTATCTAATAAATAGGATGGGGAAGTACTAGTGCTAGTAAACGTAAAGCTAGAATAGACACTATAGCAACTATTGGGATAGTTAGCATCTAATGCATAAAACTGGCACCAGCAACAACTAAAACACATGCTAGTCATTTCTATCTTTGCCAAATTGCAAATATGCAATTTGTTACTGGTTACAATGGAATAGTTACTTGCCACTACTGGGATGATGAATAGCAGCAAATCAAGTAGTATTTAGTCAACCTGAAATAGACTCTAGTCGCTTTATTATTTTTTACTAAAAACATGCAAGTGCTAGTAACATATGAATCAGATACTATTAAGTGTTGACATGGCTTGCCATAGGCACCTGTTCTCCGGCTCTGTCGCTTCGTGTTATGTAAAAGCATCGCATCATCCACTGCCATAATCTCTCCGACTACATCAATCCTGTGGCGATTTGTGATTTTAGTTTGAAGAAGAGCCAGACACAACACCGTATGCCATAACCCACACTTGCTCTGATTACTTTAATATTACCGTAGACTTGAATAATTAACCTATACGATATTTTATAGATGTGTCTGAGTAACAAACCAGGCACTCATGGTGGTTGAATCCTGGAGCATTTCTTGCGCTGGCTAATATAATTTCACCTGAATTTATTCAAACAGATACTGTATGTGAAGTATAAACTTACCTATCCAGCAAGTATGATCCCAAAATACACAGCCTCCACCCGCACTCCTCCCTGCGATATAATCCTCCCGCTTAATTCCACAACAATAAATATGCCTTTGTAGAATAGAGCGGGCAACCCAAACTCGGCGTGTGCTCTGTATTCGCTCGGACTGGTTGCCAACTACCAGCCACAAACATTTATCTGTCGTGACTCCGCATGTCGTGTGACAGATAGCGAGAACGTGCTCGCTGCCGTTGACCGCTGGTTTAATCCATTCGCCGCACCGAGGGTTTTTCTGAAAACATGACACTGCATATTTACACTGCACTGGGATTAAACCACACCAAACGAATATGACATAGTTTGCCTTTCAATACACGTCTATCACGTTTATACTATATTAATTAACATTTATAAAGCATTTCAGTCACTTTGGAATAGTTGCTACGCGGCTTATCTATAATAGATTTTGCATTCTAAACAAACAACGTCACATCCTTCAGAATTCTTAATATTATTCTGTTCTTTTAACTTTATTTTTTAAATTACAAAATTAGTGTGTTTTATGAGGCTAATTCTTTCTTTTATATCACACCACCAGGTCTAGAACAATTTTTTTCCTCATGGTTTCCAGGAGATGACTTCAATGGCAGTGGATGCAGCTCTCTGGATGATGGCTTTAGGGTGTGTGAGTCTGCTCTTCAGCAGGGGCACATGCTCCAGCAGCTCTGCCCGGGCCCTAGGAACCTCTGCCAGGACTGTAAGGGCACGGAGGGCATTGGCACACACCGCCGTATTCTCACTCCCCACCAGCTGCAGCAGAGGGGTGATGGCACCTGCGTTCAGTGATTCGGTTTTACCTGGAAACAGGAAGACAATGAGATCTGGCCTAGTCTAATCTAATCTAAGGGTTTTCAGACTGGGGTCCAGGACTCCCAGAGGGCCACAAGTGAGTGCTAAGGGCTGAGGAAAGTTCAGAGAATAAATAGTAAAAAAAAAAATCTACAGATTCTGAGACTATTACTATCTTCTTACTGATCAGAAATTATACAAATTATTTTATTCTGCAGTCAACGTTTCTCTTCAGGTTTATACATCTAAAATTACTTTAATGGTGAGTAAAAAAGATGTAAATGTAATGTTCTCCAGGTAATATTTTACTCATTTATAACATTTTTGTTTTTCACTCACTGTAAAGTGTGGCAATTTGAGTAACCCTGTAGCACAACATTTTAAACAACATCTGTGTGATATCTTTCTAGATACACGTTTCCTAGAGGACCTAATCAAGTAATAGAATAATATAGAATTAGAAATTTCTTTCCTTTGGAAGCCATTTACATTACTAGAATCACACACCTGTTGAAGTTTATTTTTAAACGATTATGGCCTTGATGCTGGCCGAAACATCGTTTAAAAAAAAAAATACAGTCAAGTTTATGTTTGTACACCAGGGTTGTTATAGTTTTAAAAATTAACTTTAACCTAAACTTTAACTGAAATAAAATATAAAAATGCTACATTTATTTTATGTCAGCTAGTTGCCAAGGCAACATGTTATTTTAATTTAGTTCAATTTAATATGTTTAAATAACTCAAACTTAAATAAAAGAATAAAAACTATGCAGACATTTTTTTTTAAAACGTATAAAAAGGAAAAAAACTATAAAATTAAACTAAAACTTTACAAAAACAAAAAAATATAAAAATAAAAACGAATTCAAAATATTAATAAAAACTATAATAGCATCTCATGATACTAAAATAACACTGTTGTAGAGTGAGTGTTGCCCATTTTTCTTCATTTTCTAATTAATAAATTTTTTGAGTTGAATCTTCTCTACAGTTCAGGCTGAGCACCTGATTTTTCAGATTTTGTTTTGGACTGTAAAAAGGGTCTTTATACTTGAAAATATATAGCAGCCTTTAGTGGGCCCCTTGCAAGGGGACCATCATATTTGGGGGACCATGGCATCAAAAAGTCTGAAAACCCCTGATCCGATGTATGTGCATATAACTAACATCAGCCTCATCTGGAGGTTTTAAAGAGGTAGTTCACCCAAAAATGAAAATTCTGTCATCATTTATTCACCCACATCATGACTCTGTATGACTTTCTTTCTTCTTCAGAACAGAAAAGAAAATGTTTGAAGAATGTCGGTCACCAAAACATCTACATTCATGTTCAACAAAATAAAAAACGTCATTTGAATTTGCATTTTTGGGTGAACGATCCCTTAAACGTTTACATACAGCACTATAATAGATACTAACTTCAACAACACATGCTTTTTGCCATGTTTCTAACTTGGCTCATAAATTACAAAAATGCACAGCTGAAACTTGATTTTGTGCTGACCCTTCGTGATGACAGCTGTGTTCATAATGGTCCCTGCAGCATTAGCAACAACTCCTTGGTCGTCATCCGACAGCAGCTTGACTAATATGGGCAGAAGATTCTCCTCACACACCTTCATCTTCCCATCTGCAGGCACACTAAGAGGGAACAGGAGATAAATGCATGCTTTTTATTTTAAAAGAGTCTCTGATCTCTCACCCTAGTGAACGTAACCCGAACTAGATTGTTGTGTACCATGTTGCCTACCTGATTCCCACTAACGCAGATGTGGCTGCCCGGCGGATGGCGGCGGAGGAGTGAGACAGCTGATCTCTCAGGACAGGAACCGCATCACTCTCCAGCGCAGGCAGGGCATCCACACTCACACAGCAGCTTAATGTGGAGAGAATTAAAGCACGGATCCTCTCTTCTTCATCTGAGACCTTCAGCAACAGTTTGGGCACCAGCCCCATAGACACCATAAACACTGCTCCTGTAGAGGACACGACAGAGGACTCGTCAAATGAAAAGCTTCTGAAATACAAATACTGTATAAGAAGCATAAGAAACAATAGTCACCTGAGGGAAATTCAGCGATCCTGTTGAGTGCCTGGTGCACGTTTTTTCGACAGGCATTCTCAGGGTCCTTAATCAGGTTTGCGAGGGGACTCACAATGTCAAATCTCAGAAAGGCATCTCTGTACGAACACATATATCAATACGGAATACTTATATATGGACAAAATGGCAAAAATGACTTGTGTTGCAAGTATTTCAATTGTTTCAAAATACTTATAAAACGAAATATTCAATTTTCAAAGTGTTGGCCACTCTAAAATGCTCCAAAATATTCTCTTCCGCTTATCAAAGGCTGCATTTATTTGATACAAAAAGACCAAAATCCAGTAATATTGCGAAATATTATTACAATTTACAATAACTGTCTTTAAATGTAATTTATACTGTACATGATGCACCGGACAACCGGCCAAATTAGAGCCAGCATCTTCATTTAAACAGCATTCATGTATTCATATTGTCATTCTTTCTTGTCTCTAGCATAAAAAAGGAAATAAATATTGAAATATTGGCAGTCGATATTGGAATCAGCCCATTTGCTTGTAAAAGACGTGGCAGCGAGATCTGAATCAGCCATGAAAAATCAAGATCGGTGCGGTTATTCCTGTGATGCAAAGCTGAATTTTCAGCATCATTACGCCAGTCTTCAGTGTCACATGACCCTTCAGAAATCATTCTAATATGCTGCTTGCTGCTCAAGAAACATTTATTATTATAAATGTTGAAAACTGTTGTGCTTCTTAATATTTATGTGAAAACTGCAATATTTAGGATTTATGAACAGAAAATTAAAAAATAAACAACACTTATTTGCAATATAATTTTTTGCAACATTATAAATGTCTTTGCAGTGACTTTTTATCAGTTTAATGCATCCTTGCTACTGAAGTATATACTAAAGAAATACAAAAAAATCGTGTGTCCCCAAACTTCTGAAGTTATTCAAACGTTAATTACATTATAACTAATATTTTTATCTTGTTGCATATATTGTTTTTGTAAAGAATATATAAAAATATAATAAATATTATATAAATATGACAAAATATGACCCTAATGTTGAGCCCTGTTAAGGTTTTACACTATAACAGTATGAAATAAACTGACATCACATAACACATAGCCTATGTGGGGCAAAGCACATTCATATGCCAAAAGCTTACACAAACTAAAACTCTAGAAAACCGTCGGCCCTCAGATTCATGACTCACCTTCCCAAGCTGTGTGAAGCAAGCACATAAAGCACTTCAGTAGTTTTGACCCTGACTAAGTCATCTTTATCTTGCAGCAAAATTTTAAGTCTTTCCATACACCCTTATGAGGAACAGAAATTACAGTCATTACTATAGGACTACACAAGGATTTAGAAACAATTTGAAAGTGTTTTTGTTAATAATTAGACTGTAGAAAGAAATAACGAGCACTTCAATATTTGTAAATAAAGATGCGTTTACCACTGAGAATGGCTTCATAGGCCCGCTCATGGTCGTGGACGAGGTCGCAGAGTGCAGCGAGCGCCCTCTGCCGGGTGAACAGCTCGGCGTCCTGCAGCTCCAGCATCAGCTTCGGGATCGCCCAGCTACCGAAAGCCACCGGCGCCTGCGTCGGGTCAATATGCGGCGGGGGCTGCTCGGATGTTCGCGGGCTGGCCATCTTCATCGTTAGGGCGCTTCAGATGTGATTTCATTAAATGTATTTACACACTGAAAAGTTACCTTCAACATTTTACATTCTAAATGTAAATAAGTATTCCTAATACATTTGCACGAGCATTCAAAATCATAATTTGCAGACTAACAAATTGTGTTAAGGACAATAATACCTTATTGGCTGGCTTGGATCGTCCGCCGCTTGTAATTATTTCCGTATATAGTTCGGTTGCTATGGTAACTACGGAACTAACGCAACGCTGTTCACAGGCAGTAACTTAAACTCCGTAATTCCTTCAACAACAAGAGGGATAATACAGAAATCAATCAATGAAAATGTTCAGTGTTCAAGACCTCTCTCACTTTTATGGGAAAAAGCACTTTTTTTGGCTTCCACCGAACATTCTAAAGAGGATGAAAGGCTGCTTTAAATTAATGTACTAATCATTTTGACAAAAGTTCTAATTCATAAATGCAAATTTACTAATAAACCCCTCCCCATTTTTATGGTTTTGTTGACTGAAGTAAGGCTGTTCATAGACAGCATTAAAAGGCTATTTAAAATAGCTATTAAAGCTAAAAAGCTACAAATGCTTTAAACGTTTGTATACACAGTATTTATTTGATATTTTTATACCTGATTGTACCCTTATTATTATTATTATATTATTTCAGTTTTATTTTTATATGCATAATTGTTGAATATTTGCATTTGAATGAAAGGGCATGTATGTTAATGTTTACTCAATAAAAAAGCAAGAAAGATAATGTCATCAGGTATGTTCATTTTAATATGTTCATTTAAACTATTTGAATTAAATAAAACAATGCAAAGGTGGATCAAGTTGCTGTTCCAAAAATATTAAAATCCACATTGATCCATATTTCTCCTGTCCGCTCAATTTTCATTGTCTCTCATGGCTGTTGTGTGTCTAGTTTCTGTAGCCATATAATTTAATATGAAGGTCAATGAGTTGTCTGAGGAAGCCTCGGTTGGGAAAGACGCCTCTTCCCTCTTTTACCTTCTGGATCGCCTCCACCAGCGTCATGTTGTGTTTCAGCATCAGATATGCCAAAACTATAGTGGCTGATCGACTCACTCCAACATGACAGTGAACCAGGATTTTGCCTTCGATAAGAAGATAGAGTTTAGTGACTCTCAGCTGCAAGCGACTGGATTAGTGGGACGCGCACTTACCTCCCCCTTTCAGCGCTGTATGTATAAATTCAGCAGCTCTGTTAAAGTTGGCACTCATGTCATACGTGGGGGAATCGTGTGCATCTATGCCCATGTATGTGATGCCCATGCCATCATAGATCTCGCCGCCACGTCTGGAGCTGTGGGCGCAGTTCAGGACATGAGTGAAGCGACGCCTTCTCATCTCTGCACAGTTTTCAGCTATATCCCTAAACAAAGAGAAAATGCATCACACAGCAGTATTATTGAACATACAGGTTATAAAATGTCAGCAGAACACTTGTTTTGCAGGCATTTCAGTTGCTTAGTAGATGCTCTGTTCCTGTTAGCAGAACTGACTGTTTATTTAAAACCTCTTAACTGTCACCGTCCCGTCAGCGGGACACCTAAGTTTACTTAATTATATTAAAATTAAATCCTAATCTAATCATGACAAACTATATATCGTTGGGAAGGTCTAAAGACTCCTAGATAGATATTTTACCACTGTTTTTTTGTTTTGTTACAAATGTAGTATGTAGGAACAGTAATAGATTCATTTTTGACAAGAGTGCACCTCAAAAAATCTACATCATAACAGGAGTTCTGACCTTTGTCACAAAAAGTCTTTTTCGTTGCCTTTTTCCCTTATCACATGTTTTAGTAATCACTAATCATCATAAATTATCATTTGAAAGCTTAAAACCTCAAAATTCATCCTGTGTAAACCATTACAAAATATATTAGTCTTTTAGAAACTTTTTATAATCCTGACAAAATACATATCGTTGAAAAGGTCTGAGTCTCAAGATTCCATATGGTTATTTTGTGATAGAAGTCATATTGAGAGAGAAATTTATACATTTGGGACAATAAAATGCAAAAAAAAAAAAAAGTTTGGGAGTCCCCCGGTGGCTTATTTTGGTATAACGCCTAAACAAAATCGTATAGGAACCTCAATTGTTTTATATACCAACTTCAAATTTGGAACACAACTTATTTAGACATATGGCTTTAATTTTTAATTAAAATAATTTTGTAAAAATAATTTTTGTAAAAATTGTGTAAAATATTTATTTTATATAAAATAAAAAATAGTATAGTAAATTTTCTTTACAGTAAATTCAAACTTCTATAACTTTTTTATACTTTCGTTTTTTTTAATGATTCTGCAATAATCTGCAGATTATCTTCTTTAAAAAGAGACCAACCTTAGGTCTGTATTCAAAAGCGTTCATTAATTATAACAATTTAAGTTTGTATAATGCACTTTCACGTCTATGTTCAAAAATGGGGGTGACAGTTAAGGGGTTAATAGCTTTGTTATTTTAAATAGCATTTTTTTTTAAGTGTTGGGTTAGTGCTGGGCGGTATGACCAAAAATAAACACCGGTATTTGGTATGAACCGGTATACCGCCCAGCACTATGTTGGGTACTCTAAAATATTCTTTTGGGTGGAAAAGGCTTATTAGCTTAGTGATTTATAGAGAAACAGCTTCCTCTTGTGTTCATGAATATGTACTACATTACGAACAGCAGCAACTCGTTGTGCAGATAACTACGTACATGTACTAATAAGCATTAAAAATAGGTTTTGTACAACAAAGGTGTAATTTTTACGCATATGTAAGCTATAAATAAGAATGAATTAGGAAAAGCTGGGTGGAAAAGGCTTATTAGCTTAGTGATTTATAGAGAAACAGCTTCCTCTTGTGTTCATGAATATGTACTACATTACGAACAGCAGCAACTCGTTGTGCAGATAACTACGTACATGTACTAATAAGCATTAAAAATAGGTTTTGTACAACAAAGGTGTAATTTTTACGCATATGTAAGCTATAAATAAGAATGAATTGGGAAAAGCGGCAGTGTGCTTACATGTTGCCGATGTACAGACTGGGCCAGACTTCATCCGCGTTAGTGTTGACGGCTCTTCCAGAGACCAGAAGACGTTCAGCCTCCATCACCGCTAAACCGGGAGAGGTGAAGTCAACCACCGCTTGAGTTGAACGTGAGGTACCGTCTGAATATTTAGACCTGTAAGACATTTTTAAGTTGTAAATGGGCATTTAGTGTCCACTGCTTTTTGTTAATACTAACCCCAGGAAGTTGTTTCGATTTATTTAAGTGCACGACACAATATCAGGTCGATACACGCCTGTTAAAGTTATTCAGACTGCCAATTCATAGTCTGCATGAATAAAAGCCCTGTTTTGGAAGCCAGGGGTTATTTTTAGTCTCTTGGGCCTGCGCGTTCAAAGCAGATCAATTACACATGCAATGTAATAATATATCTGCTCGACGATTTACAGACAGTTTGCTTTAATCTACAGTACGGCCTAATAATTTTGTTGATAATATAACATAAACAACAGGATGCAGGAAAGATATAACTGTAAATTTAACATTGACATGAATCTGTGAATTAGGATTGTTTCTAGCTTGTCAGTTGGGTATTGGCCACTGTAAAAATATATAATAAATATTATACTTTATTTCAGAAATATGAAGTAAAATTGTGAAAATTCTTATTGACTCACATTGTTAAAATGTTCACCTTTCAAAATTATGGCGTTATTATAATATTTGAATGTATACCACTCAGTTATGAATTCTGGATTGTTATTGGCCCTCTTACATACATTTATTTAAATGCTGAATTGTGATTGGCCTTCTTACTTACATTGTTTACATACTGCATTGTGATTGGCCTTCTTACATTGTTTACATACTGCATTGTGATTGGCCTTCTTACTTACATTATTTACATACTGCACTGTGATTGGCCTTCATACTTACATTCTTTACATACTGTATTGTGATTGGCCTTCTTACTTACATTATTTACATACTGCACTGTGATTGGCCTTCATACTTACATTCTTTACATACTGTATTGTGATTGGCCTTCTTACTTACATTATTTACATACTGCACTGTGATTGGCCTTCATACTTACATTCTTTACATACTGTATTGTGATTGGCCTTCTTACTTACATTATTTACATACTGCACTGTGATTGGCCTTCATACTTACATTCTTTACATACTGTATTGTGATTGGCCTTCTTACTTACATTATTTACATACTGCACTGTGATTGGCCTTCATACTTACATTCTTTACATACTGTATTGTGATTGGCCTTCTTACTTACATTATTTACATACTGCACTGTGATTGGCCTTCATACTTACATTCTTTACATACTGTATTGTGATTGGCCTTCTTACTTACATTATTTACATACTGCACTGTGATTGGCCTTCATACTTACATTCTTTACATACTGTATTGTGATTGGCCTTCTTACTTACATTATTTACATACTGCACTGTGATTGGCCTTCATACTTACATTCTTTACATACTGTATTGTGATTGGCCTTCTTACTTACATTATTTACATACTGCACTGTGATTGGCCTTCATACTTACATTCTTTACATACTGTATTGTGATTGGCCTTCTTACTTACATTATTTACATACTGCACTGTGATTGGCCTTCATACTTACATTCTTTACATACTGTATTGTGATTGGCCTTCTTACTTACATTATTTACATACTGCACTGTGATTGGCCTTCATACTTACATTCTTTACATACTGTATTGTGATTGGCCTTCTTACTTACATTATTTACATACTGCACTGTGATTGGCCTTCATACTTACATTCTTTACATACTGTATTGTGATTGGCCTTCTTACTTACATTATTTACATACTGCACTGTGATTGGCCTTCATACTTACATTCTTTACATACTGTATTGTGATTGGCCTTCTTACTTACATTATTTACATACTGCACTGTGATTGGCCTTCATACTTACATTCTTTACATACTGTATTGTGATTGGCCTTCTTACTTACATTATTTACATACTGCACTGTGATTGGCCTTCATACTTACATTCTTTACATACTGTATTGTGATTGGCCTTCTTACTTACATTATTTACATACTGCACTGTGATTGGCCTTCATACTTACATTCTTTACATACTGTATTGTGATTGGCCTTCTTACTTACATTATTTACATACTGCACTGTGATTGGCCTTCATACTTACATTCTTTACATACTGTATTGTGATTGGCCTTCTTACTTACATTATTTACATACTGCATTGTGATTGGCCTTCTAGTTCCGTACATAATCAGACAATCATCAAGTCGGTCTTGGTCAAAGTCAAACAGTAAAGCGGCTGAAGTTGTGGTTAGCGAAATTTAGGAAATTTCATTTTCACAAAACCGAAGCATACAACTTACACTGGCTTAAAACTTTGTATAACTTGGCATTTCTTTCATATTAGGATGTTATATTATTATATTCATTTTAGCATATTAGGATTCAATAAATGAAAACGTATTTTAATTCGTTATGCTAAATTTTGGCAATAAGAAAGTACATATTTTTTTCTGTTCTTCTTTATTGGAAAGGACCGAGTAAATATGTTATGGTTTTCAAATGGGCTACTGCAGTGAAGCTATTTATAAATGTAAATAAATGTTGCTATGAATATTATGCCGTAAGCTGATGACACAATAATTTGAATGTCTTGATATTTAATATGAGAGACCCTACAGTTAGTCGACCTTTATTCAGTCCTACAACATTATAAAGAAACAGTCCCCGCTTGTGTTCAAAAACATGCATTACATGGGGACTTCAGCAGGCAGGTTTTTGGTCCTTACTTAGGATTTGTGTTTTCAATATATTCGTTATACAAATATACTTTTCTTTTTCTGTAAAGATTAATCTAATAAACAATTTCAGGTATACATAAGAGATCATTTACAGAGGGAGAGAGAGAAAAACAGACAATAAAGATAAACACAGAATCTGAGACTTCATGCAGAGCTCAGTTGATTTGTATTTTTTTTTGTATTTGAGATAATTCTCTGTTGTGGTATGAAAAAGCACCTGCTGATATTATGGCACTGTTTTATCCTGGTTACAAAACAGACATAAAATCCTTTTTTGTAGGAGGAAGACCTGTTGAACGGTCCATGATATCAGTGACTTTGGTGCAAAGTATTAAATGTAGTGAAGTTAAAGGGAGCTTTTATTCCATGGAGTAGTGCTGATGGTCTGTCCGTAATCCGCATCCACACTCGTCCTTCAGATATAAACTGTACATTATTTCTTAATGTCTTAATGTCCTGTTTGACTATATACGGTCTGTATATGGCTACTGCCACCTGAACTCTGACGCAGATGCGTTGAATCAGCTACAGATCAGTAGTCTCACAAACAAAGGAAAGAAAATGAACAATAGCTAAAAGTTCTCCGAACTGCAGGATGTAAACAATCATGTTAACACCAACGCCTCTACTAAAAGGTGAACTGAGATGCAGGTGCACAATCAAAGGAAGTGACCACAGCAGATGAAGTGTAGGCTTCATTGATCATTAAAGACTATGTCCAACTGTACATTATTTCTTAATGTCTTAATGTCCTGTTTGACTATATACGGTCTGTATATGGCTACTGCCACCTGAACTCTGACGCAGATGCGTTGAATCAGCTACAGATCAGTAGTCTCACAAACAAAGGAAAGAAAATGAACAATAGCTAAAAGTTCTCCGAACTGCAGGATGTAAACAATCATGTTAACACCAAGGCCTCTACTAAAAGGTGAACTGAGATGCAGGTGCACAATCAAAGGAAGTGACCACGGCAGATGAAGTGTAGGCTTCATTGAACTTTAAAGACCATGTGAAATGGTTTGATGAAAGCAATTTCTTTAATATTGAAACAAGAAGTTGGGGCAAAACATATCAAAGGGCTTGTCTTTTTATAAACGGTTTACATCGCAGCCTAGGAAAACCATGATTTGCTACTAGCTATTGCTTGTTGGAGGCAGGTGGTACTGAAGGTTTGTCAACTTTTAATAGCATACTAGCATGTAGATGGTCTCAAAGCTAACCGATAAGGTCTAAAACCCACAAAACACCATTTTTGATTTTAAGAATTTCAAGGGGTCTTTAAAATCCAGATGCGGCCTGGAAAAAGAGTAGCGGGACAGGAACTATGGATCCAATAGCAGCTGGTCTGAGATCCGTCCAAGCTGTGGGTTTGTAACATTCAGTTTGGACAAGACCGAACCATGCTCTAAATCGAAAACTGTGTAATCAGTTAAGGTGCAGGTACATTTAACATTGCAAAATTTTGCAAGTGAAATCCAATAATTTTAATAGGAATCTCATTAATCAAGAGAAAGCTGCTTGGTTTGAAAGTGACTTTTGTGTGAGCGGTGTTTCATGAATTGCTTCACTATTAACAGCGGAAAACCTTTTTGATGGCGAAACGTGGCAAATGTGATTGCACCTTTATTCATACATTTCCATGAAGAAGGTGACTGAATAAAACCAGTGATGAAACTAATACAAAATCCAATAGAAAATGGATGAAATTAAACGGAGTGAGTTACAAAAAACTGACCTTCTTTTATTTATAGATCAAGATATTTTACAAAATAATCAAGAAAGTATTGGAATAACAGCAGTGCTAAACAACATTCCCAGTGCAAAAAGCACTGGTCTTGAAAGTTGTGCTACCAAAAACCCCTGGAAGTATTAAAATGTGGTTGAATTAGCTCTGTTTTATCCTTTCAGTCTGCCTAGACTCAAGAAAAAACGAAACAAAAAAACAACGAAGGTCTTAAGATGGTGTTATGCAATGAGACTTATGTTTAATTCTGTGCAGATGTCAGACTGCCGCTGCTCTTTGCTGGATGGCAGAAGGCTGGTTTGAGTATGGCACTGCAATGATTAGGACATTTTGCACCTGTATTTCTACTAATACATTACCATCAATAAGGTACACAACCCAAAAACACCACAAAGTTAATGCTGGCAAACTAACTGACAAACTGTGAAAATCCTAATCTGTTATCATGAGGAGATATCATTAAAAAGAAGAAGAAAAGAAAAGAACAACCACTCTGTTATTAGAAAGCCTTTTTCTCAAGGCGGTCCAAGATGGCCTGGATCCTCTGAACGGCTTCTTTGCGAGCCTGTCGAACGTTGTCCTGTCCGTTGGTCTCCACCGAGTCCAATTCCAGCAGCTCTTTTGTTAAATGTTCCTCCAGGCACCGGTAGCTCTTGTCTGTCTTTTTCCCCACAAACTCATCCACGTCCTCTTGGAGGAGCTGAACTCTGGCCAGAACCTGCTGAACTCGAGCCAGGCTGGGATTATCGCTTAATGGGGCTGGAGTGGACGATCCTTGGTGGGAAGACGTTGGAGGTTGTTCATTCTGGGCTGGTTTGGGCTCAGGTCCTGCACCTCCGGAGGGAGCCTTGTTGTAGATTTGAGGCGGAGCGCTGAACTGGGCGGCATTGGGCGGAGGTGGAGTTGGGTTTGGAGTGCTGACTCGTGGTTTGGAGCCTGGATGCTGGTTTCGAGGGTGGATATGAGGCTGACTGTGATATGGTAGATCCTAAGAGAGAGATTAAAAAGTTCTTCAATATTACACAATATACCAATTTCAAAACTGCAATGTGCATTTTGCATGTGTTAAACCCAAAGTATACTCTGTTGTTGTTTTTTTTACACGCATGCTAGAGTATGTGTGCGCATGACATATTCATCACCAGCATAGTATGCACAAACTGTACAGGTAGGGTTGGGTATCGTTTTTTTTTTTTTTGGATAACGGTGCCAAATAGATACTTTTAAAATGGTTCCGGTGCCTAAACGGTGCCTGAACTGATACTTATTAAAAAATGAATAAATAAATAAAAATTCCCCAAAAAATGATGGATTGGCCATTAGCACTATAAACACATGATGCCTGTTTCATACCAGACGCCAGAGGGCACCCTTGCACAGAAAATCCACATATCTAGTCACAGAAGTAGCGAACTCATGACCCTCCAGGAAATCCCTTATATGGACAACGGCATGCTATTATAGCTGTAACTAGGGCTGGGTATCGTTCAAAATTTTCCGATACCGATACCTTGACTTCGATACCGGTTCCTGAACGATACTTTTTTCGATACCAATTTTATGAAATCAATTTTAACAAAATCACATTATCTAAAAAAAATATATATATTGGTTTTATTTTTCAGCTTGGTGATGTTTATACAGACTCAAAGACTCATCTCCTGACCCACTGCACAAAGCATTAAAATGTAACCAACACAATAAATCAGTGCAAATAGTTTTAATATCAAAAGCTCAAATAGACTTGTTTACACATCTGTTATAGGCTACATTTACACTAGTGCGTGTTCGTTTTAAAACGTATAGCTAAGACAGACTCATCATTGCTATTTATTTTCCACTGATTTACTGATGAGCATTAGCAGCTTCTGTCTGTCTGCGTTCTCTCTTCCACAAACGCTGTTCTGAGTAATATTTCAGCAACATTACATGGCCAAAACACACATTAGACGGCAATCAGAAGTTATTAAAACACTCGATGGTGGTTTAAAGTGAGTTTTGAGTAAAAGCGGAATATAAATCTTATTTATTGTCTTATGTAGCATGATGTGTGCATGAATGGTCACGTAACATGCGCTTTCGGACGTGTAGTATGAACGGACTTCTGCATATGATCGGAGCTTCACGCAGCTCCCGCACTACTCTCCATTGGAAATGAATGACTTCCGGTCTGTCGTTTGTCGGAGATAGTGGAAAGCCAGCTTGAAAAACAGTGGAAACGCCAGTAGGCTATGACGAGGATCGTTTTAATTTTTAAACAAAAACTTACTAGTGTAAATATAGCCTTACATGTAAGGGGACTGGGACGCATTCACAATACAGCCTCACATGTGAGCCACATCTCTGAGTGTAACCGGTGTTAACTACAGTAGTAGGTGTGTTCGACTTGATGCAGACCGACTGTGCAGACTGATCAGTGTATTACAGTACCACGAGAGCTATAGAGAGCAGACTGCTCCGTATGCGTTCGAATCGCTCTCTCGGATGTCAAAACACTGATCGATCTGCGCCGCGCCACTTCTAGTCGAACACTAGTGCTGCAGGCTTATTGGCTCACTGACATTGATGAGATTACCCCTTAGGTATCGAAATGTGGTACCGAACGACGAGAAGTTTTTCGATACTCGATATCGCGGCAATTCGGTCGGTGCCTAAAAAGTATCAAACTCGATACCCAGTGCGCAAAGTAAGCAAAAATAACGACTTTATTCAACAATTCTTCTCTTCCGTGTCAGTCTCTGCTGCGCATTCATGAGAGTACTTTACATGAGAGTACATGAGAGTAATTATTCTAAACCGCCATTTTACAGAAATGGTGTTTACAGAATAACGTTAAAGTGGAAAAATATTGGTAATTATAACCTCGCACTTAGGTTTTGATTAAAATACATCACATCCGGTCGGGCGGTCGCATACGGTCTAGCTGCAGAAGTTCAAATATTTTTACACATCCGAAGTTCAAATCGGATCTGAAATTTCAAATATGATTGTAGCTCCCGCACTACTCTCCATTGGAAATGAATGACTTCCGGTCTGTCGTTTGTCGGAGATAGTGGAAAGCCAGCTTGAAAAACAGTGGAAACGCCAGTAGGCTATGACGAGGATCGTTTTAATTTTTAAACAAAAACTTACTAGTGTAAATATAGCCTTACATGTAAGGGGACTGGGACGCATTCACAATACAGCCTCACATGTGAGCCACATCTCTGAGTGTAACCGGTGTTAACTACAGTAGTAGGTGTGTTCGACTTGATGCAGACCGACTGTGCAGACTGATCAGTGTATTACAGTACCACGATTGCATTCACGCGCTCCTCGGATGCTCTCATTTCCCGAGTCGTGCTTTTAAGTCGGAATGTGAAAACAACATTGACACTCACGTTACTACAAAGATTTGTTGGATTTGTATTATTAGAGCTTTCCGACTTGAGTTCACGTGCGTTTTCTCAGTCGGGAAATTATTTTTCACGTGCGGTGCCGGTGATGATGCTTCTTACATCTGTTGCGAAGAACCAGAGGACAAATATTTCAATCGATCGCTCAGGCATGGCACCAAAATCTGCGTTCTGATTCGGTTCTAGTACATACTGGTTACATGGGTACCGGTGCCATATTGGTACCGGGTTTCGGTACCCAACCCTATATACAGGTGTAACCCCATTTTTCCAACAGTGCATACTCTGTATGCTAGTGATGGGAGAAAGCTTTTGAAAGCTCAGAATAAACCAAACTAAGAGCGTGTTCACACCTGGCGTCTTTTTTGACAAGAAAAAGTTGACACGGGTGCATTTTAGTAAAAAAAAGCTGGCAGCGTTTTGGTTACAAATGGCAGCTGAGCATCTTTTGTTGCTATAAAAACAGCTGCAACAGTAGCCTAGTGCTATGTGGTGCAGAAATGTTGAGAAAGAGGAAGTTGGCTCTTGCGTTGGCTTTTGAAGTTAACGTGGAGGAGAATGTCGGTTCACAACAACGTTTGTGGGTGCATGACATTATACAGGGAGGAAACAGTATGGTGTTTACAACAATTTAGTTCAGGAGCTCCGGTTGGATGACGCACAGTTTGCGGCATATTTTAGACTAAACAAAAGTCTAAACTAGTACGATAAGTCTGTCTACCGGCACCTTCTCAATTTTTTCTTGTTGTTATGGGAACGACTGGTCTCGCTACTCGCTTGCCATTGGTAAGCTGTCAAAAAGGCGCTTGACGTAGGGCGTTTTTTTTTTTCAGAAAAGTTAACGTTTTTTCAACTTGAAAAGACGTTGTGAGCTGCAGAAAAAGACGCCAGTGGTGGTGTTTAAAAAAAGTGCTCAGGACTTTTTTTGAAAACACCGTTTACTCCATACGATTATAATGTAAAACAGACGCTGACAGCTTAAAAAAAGATGCAAAGTGTGAACATAGCCTAACTGCTTGATAAAATAATTTACTTTTCCAAAGGACTGGAAACACAGCACCTGCTGGTCAAAAAAGTGTGAATGCAACAAAACCTTTGATACATTTTACAAACCAATTGCAAATGTTTTCATGAAAATGTAATCTATTAAAGGTAATCTACAGTTAATTAAATTAGGGCTGTCAATAGATTACAATTTTTAATCTGATTAATTACCGTTTTTGTGTGACTAATTGCGATTTACTAACACAGATCACGTTGTGGCCGCACTCGGACATTCAGGAACAAACTTTTTAGCGCTGCCCCGCAGTTTTTACAGAACTACCACATTTTGCTATAAGTTTGATTGCATCATATAATAATTGCTGTTAATAGTGTTCATCGTCTGTTTGATTACGTCTTTAATTGATTACGTCTTTAATTGATTTTTCCATACATTTCTGCCATATGTACATTGACTGACAGTCACCACTGATAAGCTACCACTAAATATTGTAGAAACTTAATTTGCTGTAAAGTTGCTTTGCAACGATTTGTATCGTGAAAAACGCTATACAAATAAATTTGAATTGAATTGAATTATATCAGGCAACCCAGTTGTGTTCCTCTGCGGCCAGATTAAACCTTTAGAAACCTCGCACTTTTCTACTCAATTTTTAACGGTGTTCTTATATTCAAATTAAGCGTGGTCCACTGCTGCACACGTGCCACAATATCGATACAGGGCCAGCTGTATCGATACTCGTATCGTCAAATCTCTGTGATGATACATCGTCGTATCGATGTATCGAACACAGCACTAGTATTTGCAAGCTTGCAGCGGGAATCTCTTAAGCAATAATGAGAAGTTTAATGCTTACAGGCTTCCATACGTCATCCGCCCACAGCATCTTCTAGGATTTCTAACGGTTCGATTCTCTCAAGTCTGCATTCGATGCATCCTCAGGTATCAAGAACGCATCAGGGCAACTTTCATGCATTCTCTGTACTTGCATTCTTAAGTATTGGAATTGAACTTTGACGGTTAATGATTACAGAGCGAGAACACAAGGACGCAAGATCACTTAAGAACGCATATTGAGAAACGGCTATTGGCTCTAATTACTTTTAATGGTTACTCTCTTTAGCGTCTGATTCCAGTTCCTACCAAATCATGTTATGAAAATCAATGTTGTTTGAACTCTTATAACGACCATTAATGTCTGTTTCAGTTTGCTTATGTACTAGCAAAGCATACAGAATCCTAATTAGCCTGACAGCTTAGTTCATATATTACGTAACTGCACTTACCTTACATGTAATCACAATAGCCTATAATGTAATTACGTGCTACTAAGTTTCAAATATCCAAATATTACAGTTACAAATAAGAACTATGTAATGATATTTAATTATTCACTTAATTAACAGTTTATCAAATTAAAGAAATAACATTATGGCCAATTTGCTTTATTATGCACTATATAGTAACAGTATATATTTGCTTAGAAACAACAAAGGGAAGATTTTCTCAAAAGGTCAGAAGATAGTGCTCTATTTTTTACTTATTTGTATTTTCTCCTTCAGTTCAAAACAGGAATCACAATCAAATTAAAGAAAAGTTTTAGCAGAACATCACAAATACCTTGTGCTCATATGGAGGTGGTGCAGGTCCTTGCCACGGTGGAGGGTAAGGCGGTTGTACATGGTTATAGTGGCCATGGGGTGTCTGAGTATTGGACGGCCACTGCTGTTGGGGCGGTGTGGGCCCGTACCCTCCAGAATGGGACCAGGCCTCGTGCTGGGGTCTTGAGAGCATGGGCTGCTGGTTGAGGTAGGGGGCATTCGAAATGCACCCTTCTCCATAGTGTGGGTAAGATCCTGCTGGGTAGCCAGGAGCCTAACGGGGAAAAAAAAGTCCAGAAAGAACTATGACATTGAGAGATACTTTTTCATGTGGTACAAGCAAAATGCAGGGGGGAAAAAACAGGAAAACAGAAAGTGATTAAAAAAAAAAAAAATCCAGAAGTCAACAAGGCTCTTAAAATATCAGAATATTAGTTCTGATGTCATGATGTCATGTGGTGCGACTCCCCAAAACTTTCATGATGTTTAAAAATTATTTAACATTAAAAAAAAAAATTTAAATTATCACAATATGTATACCCCAGTTCTATTTTAGTAAAATATATTTACTATTATAGTATTCATTCATATTTTAAATTAGCTTTTATTTTCATATTTTCAGTTTTTATTTAAATTTTAGTAATTTTGTTATGTGCTTTTGTCATTTTTATTAGTTTTTAATATTTCTATTTCTATTTATCTAATTTTAGTACTTATTTCAGTTACAGTATATTAAAAGTGTTTAATCTAATTTTTATACTTTATTTTAGCTTCATTTTAATTACCAAAACAATAGTTAACAATAACAATGCTGGTACATTCATGCATTCAGAAGAGTTTTTCATCTTAAATTTACATTTTAATTTATTTCAGCTTTCTTTGCATTACCAAAAAATATTTTTTATTTAACAATAGCAATGCTGTTACACACATTTATTCAAGGTTTAAGAATTTTTTTAATTTAATTTCACTTGTTTGTTACACCACATGACAGTTTATCATTAAATTTAATTAAATGTAAAAGTTTTTTCAATCACATGAAACCAACATGAATACAAAGAATACATTACTAAGAACTTGGCACATGTTTTAATGTAGATTTTTAAATGATTATTAATTTTCTTTATTATGGACACTATTTACAATTTACCCAAAAATTTGCTTGGTAAAAAACTAAATTAACAATCTTTTATTATGTTTACATGTAACTGAATTTACCCCTTGGCAGTGAGGAACGGGGTAGGGGGGAGGAGCTGAACCCCCCGCATTTTGTTCAGGGCAGGTCTGGCTGTGATACTGAGGCTGTCTTGAAGGAACCTGGTCACTGCAGTAGAAGGGGTTGGAGGGATGTAGCATACTCGAGGAGTACTGTCCTGGATTGTACACCCCATTGGAATAGCCTGACATTGCCTGAAAAGGGCACAGCAGAGTGAAGCGGGATAAGTCTGCTGTATATTTGACTGACTGACAGAGGGTGTTACATAAGCCTGAAATGTCTGCAGTACCTGGGGATTGTATGAGGCCTGTCCGTTGACCTCTGTTCCAGGGGGGTATGTGCTTCCATAAGGTCCCGCCGTGTGCGACTGGGGATACCAATAATTAGAGTAGCCGGAATACTGAGAATCCTGAAATAAAAATGGTTATAGTCTATACGTTACAAAATAGGGTACAGAATTTTTTTTGCATTAATCTGTTAAACATGTTCAGAGGTATTAGTTATGTTTTGGTGGTGTGAGAGCTTTTAAGGATAGTAAGAGTAATAATGTCATAATTTGTACAATACAATATATTACAATAAAATAATATAAACATGGTCACTCATTTCCCATCTGCTCCCAAATCACAACGCAATACTGCATATTGAAATAAATAAATAAATAATAAATATATATATACAGTGGGCTTCAGTGTTGTCACATGAAAAGATATAATAAAATATTTACAAAAATGTGAGGGGTGTACTCACTTCTGTGAGATACTGTATATATAAGACTCACATAAAAATTTTAATAAATGGTTAATGGCAATTATTATAATTACCAGTAAGTGCAATCAAAAATACAAACTACAGTGAAAATACAAAGTAGAAATAGGGAAAAAAAAACGAAATATTCCTTCCTAGCAGCAAGTAATAATTTCAACTGTTTATCCACTTGATCTTTCAATCAAAAAAAAAAAATCTAACCTTTAATTGAAGTAAAAAAAAAAAAAAAAGTGGGGGAAAAAAATCACATCATGAAATAAATATTTTTCTCTAATACAGTTAGAGGACGTGTGTCTATATCGTGCTAATGCACGGTGAGGAGGAGAGTCTGAGTGGCCAAAGATTCTACAAGGATCACAGCTGGAGAACTGCAGAAGATAGTTGAGTCTTGGGGTCAGAAAGCCTCAAAACAAAAAAAAAAAAAACAATGTTGTTTGGGAGGGTTTCAAGAAAAAAAACTAGAAAAGAAAACGCTCTCATCCAAAAACAAACTCCAGCATATTTATTCGCTAGACACGACTGGAACTTTAAACATGACTGGGTTCAATGGTCAGATGAAACTAAAAAAATTAGCTTTTTAGCAGCAAACACTCAAGATGGGTTTGGTGCACACAGGGATAAAAAAGTACTGCACGTGTACAATGAAATATACTGCTGGATCTTTAATGTTGTGGGCCTAGATCCTGGATATCTTGTTCAGATAGATGGCATAATGGATTCTATAAAATACCAATGGATAGAAAATTAAAAACTGACTGTTCATGCTAGAAATCTTATAATGGGCCATGGTTGGATCTTCCAACAAGACAATGATCCACAAACAAACATAAAAATCAAAACAAAAATGGGTCACGGAGAACAAAACCAAGCTTCTGCGGCTGCCCTGGCCAACCCAGTTCCTTGAGCTGAACCCTATAGAAAATGAGTGTGGTGAACTGAAGAGGAGAAGCATCAACATGCAGCTGGAAATCTGAAGGGCCTGGAGAGATTCTGTATGAAGGAATGGTCTCTGATCTCCTGTCAGCTGTTCTCTAAACTCTTCCGGCATTATAGGCGAAGACTCAGAACTGTTCTCTTGGCAAAAGGAGGTTGCAAAAAGTATTGGATAAAAGGGTATGTTTAATTGTCACCAATGTGTATTAGAGAAAAACATTTATTTCATAATGAGATTTCTCTCCCATTTTAAATTCTTATTCTCCAATGAAAGTTTAGATTTGAGTAAATTTTTAAAATAAAATATCTAAAGGATTGATACAGAATTTTCATAGCCTTCTTTGATCATATTTACCAAGGGTATGAATAATTTTGAGCACAACTGTACAAACAAGTATTAAGCAAAACACTCACGCGCTGCCGTCCGTCTCTTCTGTTGACTAATCGCGCTCTCATCCAAAAACAAACTCCAGCATATTTATTTGCTAGACACGACTGGAACTTTAAACGTGACTGGGTTCAATGGTCAGATGAAACTAAAAAAATTAGCTTTTTAGCAGCAAACACTCAAGATGGGTTTGGTGCACACAGGGATAAAAAAGTACTGCACGTGTACAATGAAATATACTGCTGGATCTTTAATGTTGTGGGCCTAGATCCTGGATATCTTGTTCAGATAGATGGCATAATGGATTCTATAAAATACCAATGGATAGAAAATTAAAAACTGACTGTTCATGCTAGAAATCTTATAATGGGCCATGGTTGGATCTTCCAACAAGACAATGATCCACAAACAAACATAAAAATCAAAACAAAAATGGGTCACGGAGAACAAAACCAAGCTTCTGCGGCTGCCCTGGCCAACCCAGTTCCTTGAGCTGAACCCTATAGAAAATGAGTGTGGTGAACTGAAGAGGAGAAGCATCAACATGCAGCTGGAAATCTGAAGGGTCTGGAGAGATTCTGTATGAAGGAATGGTCTCTGATCTCCTGTCAGCTGTTCTCTAAACTCTTCCGGCATTATAGGTGAAGACTCAGAACTGTTCTCTTGGCAAAAGGAGGTTGCAAAAAGTATTGGATAAAAGGGTATGATTAATTGTGACCAATGTGTATTAGAGAGAAACATTTATTTCATAATGAGATTCTCTTCCATTTTAAATTCTTATTCTCCAATGAAAGGTTAGATTTTAGTACATTTTTAAAATAAAATATCTAAAGGATTGAT